AAGATGATAATAAAATGCAACAATAAGACTTCGCTCCGAACAGAATGTTGTGTGAAAGAGAGAAGAAACAAAAAGAAAAATAGCTAACCTGGGGGACCTGGGTGGTCTTACCACAACCAGTCTCACCACATATAATAACACTATTATTCTCATTAATAGCTTCCATTATTTCCTGTTCCATCATTACTATTGGAAGATTTCTTCTGCTGCTCTCGACCTCCTTTGGTCTTGATACGTGCACTACAGTTGGGGCAGTAGTAGTTCTCAGTAGAGTACAGATCCCCTGGTTCATTATATTGCTGAGATTTACATTTGGACTTCCATCCACTGTAGCCTGTTCCAAGCGCCCAGCATGAGTTGAAACATGTTAAAGTAGAATAAAATTGTCCAAGTATAAACTCTTTTGAGAGTGAATATAAAAAAGTGTAAAATAATCTGATTGATCAAAAAAATCGCCATACAGTATGGAAGGGAACCATACCAATGACTCTGCCAGTTCTTCAATGGGAGGAAATGCGCGCTGTGAATTTTCTGGCTGTTCTGGTATTAATGATTTACTGGTTCCACTATTTACTTCCTCAACAGTCAAAGCAGCATCTTCCCCAAGAGTAGCAGGTTCATTCCTACAAACTATTTCTTGAGAAGATTGTAGTCGGACGGATATGTGATTCTGGAGCTCTCTTTCTGGTAAAGATGGTAGTGGAGAATTGCTATCATTGTTTACTTGTGATTTGTTATCGTCCGGATGCAATTCAACACCACCAGACGCATTATCACTAGTCCGCTTCTTGAAAGGTCGATAATCATCTAATTCTAAACCGGCTTTACAAAACTGCACTTGCCTCCTACGTTTTTCACGGACAGTTTCAACCTATAAATATTAAGCCAATTCATAAATTATGGTCCAGGATTTCCTTTTTATTTTTTAAATCAGAATATTGAATATCATGAGAGTGACACAAACCTGACCCAAGTTCCGTGAAGACCACATAAGAGAATACACATCATCTCGAATCTTGTACTTCCTGAATGTAAATAATCAAAATCCCAAATATTAAGACAAGAATGAGGTCAATAAAACACAACAATAATGAAAGACAATATTAGTGGCATTCATACTCCAATTCCTTGATGCTTTCTGACAAAAGTATCTCATTTTCCTTCTCCTCCTACACGTTGGAAAATTATATCATTAAACATTCAAAGCCCAGATAGGGAGAAATAGTTTGAAATCTACCTAGACACACCAAGTAAAAGATTTACATACCTCAAACTTCTTTAACTTTCTTTTCTGGGATTTGCTTAACTTAGGCTCCTTATTTATCCTAAGCTTTTCGGACACCTAATAATCAATAAACAGACGCTAAATTGTCAGAGTAAATAAATAAAATCCAATTGAGAAAGAAATTCAGGGTGAAAACATTTACTTATCAATTTAATACACATATACCTGCTTATTTTTGTTCTTTTTACTCTTTTTCTTGCCTGGCAACATGATTGCATTGCTGCCATTATCCTCCAAACTATCATACATGGCAAATTCAGTGTAAACAACTTCTCATCCGACCTCCAAACGAGTTTTTTTTCCCTTGAAAATTTCAAATTCAATTATTTACCTCAATAACTCGGTTCCATTGTTCAAGTCAGTTGAAGAGTCCATTTTTATGAGCTCGCACTGGATTTTGGTCCTGGGTATTTCACCTATTACATTTGAGGGCAGCCAGTTTTTAAAGGGAAAACCATAAACAACCGCATCAAAAATTCAAGAGAAATATTGTTGTAAAAATCACTGTTGCTAGAGGAAGATTACCATCAAGAAACAACAATTCTGGGAAAATAAAATAAATTTCAAGGAGTTGAGTTCAAATTAACAAACAAATCGAGTCGATTTCAACATATAAAGCTCGTTATAAAACTAATAAAAATCTGATACCTTCCAAGTTTGGTGATGAAGAAGTTGAATAGAAATCACTGCAACACAAGATAAATTGGTGCCAAGGGGGTTTAAGACATTAACAAGCTGTACAGAAACACCAGCACTCAAGACCTCGTTTACCATATTTCTAGCTTCTCAGATATCCTCTATCCGGTTAATAGTATGTTTTGACAGAACGAAAAACTACAAAGACCGTCAAAGCTGGTTATACAGATTTAATTAAGAAAGAGATAATATCCAGCTTGTTATAGTGCAAGACTGAAATCTTTCAACAATAACCGAGTAGAGAAAGTACTGTTAGATAGATGCAAAAACAACATATGCCATTTTCCCCGATAACTTATCCAAAGCCTCAACACAAATAATTAAATATTGCTGAAATATTAACATAGCACCAGAAAACAACATAGCCAAGGAATCGAAAAGGTTCGCATCTCAATTTAAATAAAATCTACTCAACAAACCACATAAAAACGAAATCGAACGCCAATAATCACTTCCATTCTATACATATACGTACGGTAATTGGCTCTGGAAAGTTCGTCGACTTCATTTAAGCCAGACTTTGCCCTTGCCGCACTTGAGGACCTAGCAGCGAGCCGCTTCTGTAGCTTCAGCGACACCATTTAGAACCTCTCGATCGATCTGTGCAAG